CCGATCAGCCACATCTACGAGCATTTCAGGTAACGAGCGAGCCACTACCAGGGCATGTGTTTCGATTTACGAGCTTTAGATCAGTAACCAAGCCGTCAGTGCATCTGTGTGTGTCTGCCTGATTCCGCCGTTGAGTCTTGCTCCCAGGACGTGGGTCTTTGATCGCCTGCAGCCAATCAGTGAACTGCTGCAGTTTGATTGGGTATATTTCGCAAGACGAGTGTTTCAGGAGACGGACTCGGCGCCGGGACAGATAAAACTTGTTAACCAAGGTTCCACTATACTTGGTCTTAGAAGTCTGCAAACATGCATATTTATTGTATGCGTGCCTGTTGGCTTTTGCATATATATTTTTCTTGAGCGCCACGTTTTCAAGCCTCAACATTGGCCAATTAACAGTCTGTGGTGTCGCGGGTGATTAAAGCCGCAAAATCTCTCGATTTATCCGTGAATGGTAGGACAACCAACATTTTTTTCCGGCCACATTACGGACTAGGAGAGGACAGCTCTCCTGACAGCTGCCTGATGTCGTTCACAGTTTTCGCTATCCTTAAAAGTGTGTATAGACCCGAGGCGATATCATAATCACCACAAACATCGTCTACCGGCACTCTGCACCCTCATTAATGCAGAGAAAAAGCGTGAAATGTGTTTGACACAACAGCCTTTATAGTGAAGTACGACAGTTGGACCGTCGATTTCGACGATATCTGCCATTAGCCTCAGCAGGCTGAAGCAGCGCGGTGACTGTGGCTGAATTACAGTGAAATTAGACTCGCCGGATCTACACCTCTCCCACACCGAACCCGTTGTCAAAACTTTAGTCAAGAAGACTGGAGATGAGGGAGGGCGCAGGCGGCTGGCGCGATCAACACACAACACGCGTACCAACAGCACGCCTCGCTAGGTAGGCTCCCTTATGGGAGCACCACAAAGGCCACATTAAGAATGAACCATTGAGCCTGACTCTCAGCCCGCGGTTAGCCACTCCGCACAAGACACACTAGACTGACTGCGGTGTCCAAGTTATCCTGTCTGTTGACAATCCTCCAAGCCACGGCTTTTAGCGCCCCGTGATAACTTCAAGTGCGTCAGATTGTTTATAGTGAGGAAAGAAATGCGCTGAGGGTCGACCTCACTCTGTCCCCCACTGCTAACAACAGGCCACCGCCTAGCAGATCGGTCGCCTGAGGTGAGATGGGCGCCGTGCTAAAAAAAATTGTAGAACACTGTCATTATTTCAAGCGAAGCAGTCCGCACTCGTTGGGACAAGATCGCATCGAAGAGGAAGTAGACTAAGGATCCGGCTCGGTACATTTCTTCAAGACGTGGAAGTGATCCTTGAATCCTGTTTATTCGGTCTCCTTCGTTAGCTGTCCAAATCTGCAGCCGTTATGCACAGAGGGGTACAATAGGTGCCAGTTTAGACGCTGGCTACGTCGGGCATGGTCACAACCGTACCGTACACAAGTAGACGTGAGTCATTTCCAGCCCGACTGTTTGCTGCTCCAGAATTGAATTTTGTGATGATGGAGGTACGCGAGGGAACCAGCAGTGGTGTTAATTTCGACACCGCCGCCGTCGTGTTGCTTTTATTTCCTCCAGACTTTGTTTACCCTATTTTTTACCTCGTGTGCTGTTCACTATTGCTTTTTCTA